TGGGCTGGCTGGGGGCTGCAGGTCAGGAGTGAGGGGCACTGGCAGAGCTGGAGGAACAAACACATAGGGGGGCTTTGAGCCCCATTGGGAGAAAGGCCCCTCCCTCTGGGGGTCTGGCGTTACTGGGTCTGGATGGCCGGAGCCTCCCCCATTTTCCCCTCCCCCGGCGCGTGTCCCACCTTCTTGAGGGTCCCGGCGCGGGTGCCGAGGAAGACGACGGAGTGGCCCTGGTAGGTGTAGGCGGCGACGCTGGCCAGCCCCTCGCTGCGCTCGGCCAGCAGGGGGCGCCCCTCGATGACCTGCAGCCCCCCCAGCGGCTGGTTCAGCACCAGCCCGCAGAAATTCCCATTGATCTGCATGGGCTGGGGAGAGAGGGGGGGTCAGGGACAGCTGAGTGCAGCCCCCAATACACCCTGCCCCCCCCGGCCTCCCAATAGTCCCCCAGCTCCCCAATACACCCTGCCCCCCGCCTCCCAATAGACCCCGCAGCTCCCCAATACACCCTGCCCCCCCAGCCTCCCAATAGGCCCCCCAGCTCCCCAATACACCCTGCCCCCCGCAGCCTCCCAATAGACCCCCCAGCTCCACAATAAACCCTGCCCCCCCAGCCTCCCAATAGACCCTCCAGCTGCCCAATACATCCCCAGTCCCCACCCTCTCCATTGCCCCAAGATACTCTCACCACCTCCAGCCCCCACCTTCCCTCCCACTCCCCGGCTCTGGGAGGGTAGAGGGGGCTGGTGGGTTAGAGCAGCGGGGGCTGGGAGCCAGGACTCCTGGGTTCTCTCCCCGGCTCTGGGAGGGTAGAGGGGGCTGGTGGGTTAGAGCAGCGGGGGCTGGGAGCCAGGACTCCTGGGTTCTCTCCCTGGGAGGGGAGCCGGGCCGTGTGGCTGAGCGCGGGGGCTGGGCGAGGCTCCCGGACGCCTGGGTCCCGGTACCGTGTTGATGCAAGGCAGCTCCTTGTTGAGCAGCCAGGGCAGGGAGAGGTGCCCTTCGCCGCGGTAGCAGCTCTGGATCCGCTCCTGGATGCGCCGATTGACCTCGTCGAGCGTGAAGAGGCAGAGCAGGCTCTGGCGGGGCGGCGCGGCCCGGTTCTTCTGGCCCTGGGCGAAGGCTGCGTAGAGCACGTCCTGCCCCTCGGCCAGGCCCAGCGCCCGCGCCAGCCGTCGCCCGGCCTTGGCCAGCCGGGCGGCCTGCACCAGGCGGTACTCCACCCCGGCGTGGGCGCAGCCCAGCGGGAACTCCACGTAGGAGTAGAACTCGGCGTCGCGGGCGCAGAGCCGCACGATCTTGGAGGAGAAGAAGCGCTCGGCCCCGGGGGCCGCCCCCCCGCCGGGCCCTCCGCCCGGCCCCTCCAGCGCCGCCTGCTGCGTGTCCAGCTGCAGGGTGAGGAAGTAGACGAAGGCGCCCGAGACGAAGGCCGAGACGTAGTAGATGTCGAAGGCCGGGTGCAGCGCCAGGGTGTCCGAGGGGACCTTGACCTGCGAGGAGACGAACTCGTCCTGGTAGACCAGGCTGAACATGTCGGGGCTGGCGGGGTCGGGCGCCAGGCGGCGGCTGGACAGGGTGGGGAAGTACTCGGAGCGCCCCTCCACCGAGGTGCCCACGAAGAGCCGGCTAGGCTGGCCCGGCTGCTCCAGGATGACGCCGGCCATGGCGTCGGCCTCGCGCCCGCCCGAGAGGTAGTGCTCCTTGCGCTGGTGCGGCTCGCCCAGCTTGGCCAGGTCGCCCAGGCGCAGCAGCTGGCAGACGCCCTGCCAGACGCTGCCGCAGGCCACCAGCCGCCCGCCCGCGTAGTCCAGCAGCAGCAGCTTGTTGACGTTGTCGGCCGGGGCCAGCGGGTGCTGGCAGAGCCGCACGGCGGGCGGCGGGTAGCACCGGGCGTCGTCCGGCACCGGCCCCGTCCCGTGCACCCGCAGCTGGCTCAGGTTGGCCGCCAGCTTGTAGACGCGGTTTACGGCGCCGGCAAAGACCTCGCCCGTCTCGCGGTGCACCGCCAGGTGGGTCAGCCCCCCGTCCGGCACCGAGAAGGAGGCCCAGGCAGCCGGGAGCAGCGGAGGGGGGGCCCCTGGCCGGGCTGGGGGGGGCAGCAGCAGCAGAGCCAGGGCCCCCCGAAGCAGGGGGGGGGCCCTGGTGGGGAGGGCGGGGGGGGGCAGGCCTGGAAGGGAAGAGATGGGGGGTTAGAGAGAGGGGGACCTCCCCCCTGCCAGAGAGCCCACCCCCAGCCCCCCACTTCCCCATGGCTGACCCCCCAACACCCACAGC